AAATTCAAGCCCCCATGAATTATTTCCTAATTAATTTTTTTCCGGGAATCGAGGTTTCATGATTGAGTAAAAATACATTTGCATTCATAATTGGTTACGTGATTTCGACATAGGTCATCGTCATATTTTTTGCACGAAACAATATTCTGGGATATGACATACAACAAAGAAATTACTTCTACCGAGAAAAATTCAAAAGTGTCCTGCTTAAAACATTTTAAGCATGTTTAATAAGAGACATGGTTATGCTATTTCAAATAAAATGTGCATATGCAAATAAACAAATAAGAGTCAACCTGGGGGCATTACATGGATTCTTTCTTTTCATATGTCATCGTCTGTTTATAATACAAAATCAAATAGTGAGAAGGAAACGAAATCAAAGAAAAACTTCCCAAAATGTCCTGTTTAAAAAATACTTACTATGAAAAATGAGTGGAAATGAATGTTAAAATTTTATGCAGTAACTTTGACTTTCTGTTTCTAGATTTTTACGATGCAAATATTGTGTATTGATGTGTATTATTTTTCAAAAGGTTCATTATTGATAGTTAACGTAAAACAAATTAACGAAGCAATAAATGTTTCCACGGAATTCCTTTCACTTACCTGTACATATATTAAAATTAAACTGAATTTAACATTTACCTTAGTAACTTTTTTTTTATATTAAATTTGATTGTTGGTTGCTTAACGTTCAGTGGAAAATATTTCATGCATGTTCAGGACGAAAACAAGTTAACAATAAATGCAATAGGTAGGTCCTGTATTAGAGGCCATCCGGGATGATGGTCGGTGAAATTTGGACTGCCACTGGAAAATTAGGGTATATTGGATAGGGACAAAAATTTTGCCTTGCAACAGGCCACCTACGGACCCCTCAAATAGTTGTTGCAAGGGTTCTTATTGTGCAAAGAGCGTGGCACTCTCTTTACACGAGGCATCGGATTTAACGTCCCCATTCTGACCGGACGTGGCTGCAAACTTGATACATCCCGCACAGCCAAACCGACGCCCCACTTTGGCAATCGTTCTACTGCCCGTCGGAAGAAGACCAAGTGACCATATTTCTATTCCCCAGTCACCCTTAGGGGCTTTATTAAATTTGAAATTAGATAAGGTAATTATAGTTCTACATTCAATCACCCTAGGTCTTCTTTAAAAGTAACAACAGACTAAATACCTAGATAGCAGTTTTAAAAACTTTTAAATCTTATCACTCCAACAACAAAAAAACAGGTCACTCCGGGTGCATTTGGTGGCTTTTTTTCATATTTCATCGTCTGTTTATAATACAAAAAGATAGAACAGGAAACAAAATTTAAGAAAAGTTTGCCAAATATCATGTTTTAGAATACACAAAGAATCTTGACTGGAAATTAAACTGTTTATGCAGGTACAATGGCTTTCTGTTTCCTTGTTTAAATTGGGAAAAATAAAGGTAATTCTAGTCCATACTAAAGGAACATGAGAAGTAATATACAAACAGTAACAATATTAGAAAAACATGGTTTTGTGTCTTGTATAAATGTGTAGTTTTATAAAATTATCGTTACAGAAACCAGCTTATCATTTACAATTCTTTCATAAATATATTCTCTAAAAAATAGTTAAATACAGTTTTGACAAAACTAAACTTAGTTTTATACCAGTATCTCATCATGACTGTAATATGCGTCAGTGACATTGTACCGTTTATTTTTGTCTTACATTTCTTACGATGTCCTGATATAAGATCCATGCGATATTGTGTAATGGTGTGTATTAAATTTCACCATCATTAAAGACAGCTGAATAAAATAACAAATTGATGAAGTAAGACATTTTTACAATTGAAAGAGAAAACATCCATGGAATTGAAAGTAATTGGAGAGTATGTCAGTATTACATGGTAAAATGGCAATGTGCATGTAGTTCATTATTTTCAATTACATGTATTAAAATTAAGCTCAATTACACATTAAGATTTACAATAAAAAGCTTTTGAATTTGTAATTAAATAAGGTAGTTACATTTTTAGCTCACTTTTCCAAAGGAAATGTGAGCTGTTGTCATAACTTTGTGTCCGTAATCGTCGTCCGTCCGGTGTAAACTATTTCAAACATCTTCTTCTCTGAAACTACTAAACCAATTCCAACTAAACTTCAGCTGAATGATCCTTAGAGTATCTAAAATAAAGTTTGTGTTTTATTTCCGTTTCGTCAAAAAACATGGCCGGCACGGCTAAAATAGAACAAGGGGGTAAAATGCAGCTTTTGGCCTATATCTCAAAAACTAAAGCATTTACAGCAAATCTGACATGGGATTAAAGTGTTCATTAGGTCAAGTTCTATCAGCCTTTAATTTTCAGATGAATCTAATAACCAATTGTAGGGTTGATGCCACTTAATTGGTAATTATAAGGAAATTTTGCATTTTAGTTATTATCTTGAATATTATTAAAGATAAAGATAAACTGTAAACATGGTAAACAGCAGATATGTTTAGCAAAGTAAGATCTACAATAAGTTTATTTGACCAAAATTGTCAATTTTTATGTTTGTGTTTTAGTTAAAGCCCTTTCAGGACAATTTTACACAATTTTGGTTTATCATGTTTTCTAACTTGACAAAATCTTCTTCTCTGAAACCAAACTTAAGCTGAATAATCCTTAGGATATCTAGAATAAAGTTTGTGTTTTATTTTCTGTTTCGTCAAAAAACATTGTCGTCATGGCTTAAAAAGAACATAGGGGTTAAATGCAGTTTTTTGGCTTATATCTCAAAAACTAAAGCATTTAGAGCAAATCTGTTATGGGGAAAAATGTTCATTAGGTCTAGTTCTATTAGCCCTGAAATTTCCAGATGAATCTAATAACCCATTGTTGGGGTGCTGCCACTAAACTGGAAATTTTAAGGAAATTTTGCAGTTTTTGGTTATTATCCTGAATATTATTATAGACTTAGATAAACAGTAAATATTGTAAACAGCAAAAATATTTAGCAAAGTAAGATCTATGATTAGTTTATTTGACCAAAACTGTCAATTGACCCCTTAAGGAGTTATTGCCCTTAAAGGACAATTTTACACAATTTTTTTATTATGTTTTATATCTCAAAAACTAAAGCATTTACAGTAAATCAGACAAGAAGTCAAAGTAGTCATTAGGTCAAGGTCTACCTGCCCTGAAATTATCAGACAAATCGGGTATCTGATTTTCAGGTTATTGTCCCTGAATTGATGATTTTAAGGAAATTTGCAGTTTTCGGTTATTATCTTGAATATTATTATAGATAAAGACAAACTGTAAACATTCAGCAAAGTAAGATCTACAAATAAGTTTCATATTAACATAATTGTCAATTGACTTCTTAAGGAGTTATTGCCCTTTAAAAAAAATTTCACAATTGTTCATATTGTTTGCTTACTTTAAAAAAATCTTTTCCTTTGAAACTGCAGAATCAATTTCAGGCAAACTTGGACTGAATGAGTTTCAGAGTATCTAGTATAAATTTTGTATTTTATTTCCTTGTACGTCAAGAAACATAGCCACTATGGCTCAAATGGAACATAGGGGTAAAATGTATTTTTTTTTTTTTTTGCTTTTGAAGAAAATATGTCAGATACAAAGAACATTTAAATGGAATTTTTAAGCCACTCATTAATATATATTGAAAAGCAAAAATAATCATTGATGAAAGATTAAAGCAAAAATTACAGGTGAGCAATTCAGGCTCTCGAGAGCCTCATGTTTAATTTCCTTGGGTCATAATAAATGAAACGGATGGCTTTATATATTGAGAGTTGTTTACCGATTTTAAAATTTTGTCAATCAAAAAGGAGCGATATCGGATGTGTCGACAGAGTACGCGTCTCCTATTTGCATGAATAACCCGCAATCAAATCAATCTTCACTTCAGGCACCATTACAACCTAAACCATTCATAAAACTACTCCTAAATATTGATAACTACACTTTCTAAATGTATTAGCTGCAGTACTAGCTTAAATTGGGTAAACATGTCTGCTTCAGTCGCAGTCGGGAATATAACACAGTCAGTAAATGAATAGTGCAGACAACTATTCTGATACTTACACTGCTAATGTATATTTCAGACAGAATTTTAGTAATGTGTTTACACAATACCAGTTATTAATTTCAAAAACTGTTGAAGAATTGTAATATGATATGTGTTGCGCATAAAGTTCAAAAAGTTCAAATGTGAAAACAAATTGTGCTTTAAGAGAAAAAAAATCACTATGCAATAAAATTTATTACAAATGTATGTTACTGTAAGTACATTTACATTTAAAAAGCGCGAGATCAAATGTAATATAAAATCTAGGAGATGTGGTATAATTGACTATGAGACAGTTCAGTTTCAAATACCATAGACCAAGGGCAAATGTAATACCTAATTCATTTAATTTTTTATTGTTTCTCAATGCTTAGTATTGAGTATCAAAAAATAATTCTTTCAGTGTTTACTAAACATTCGTCATTGTCATCATTAATCATTTGTTATGAATTGTGGAATGGTGTCTGTTTTAAAACCCAGTTTCGTCAATATAATGGCTGAATCTGTCATTTTACCAAATATATTATCCAAAAACAAAAGATGAGAAAATTACAAAAACAAGTACAAAAAAATAATATTTCATATTAAGGAAGCAATTCTAATAATGATTCATAATCATATTGATTTAAATTAAATTTGAGATGTATTATAAAATGTATGAGAAATATTGACCTTTAAATTTATTTTGTAAAAAAAACTTCAACCACGCAAATAGTGACATATGTTTGAAAGAATACATTTTTCGGGGAAATAGTTTGAGATTTTTTTTGAAAAATATAGTTTTGTTGAAATGTTTCCTGCTTGTCTTAATTTGATAGAAATGATAAATTCTAAAAAATCAAACTTTCTTATAATAAGAACTACACCTACGTGTAACCGGACATATGAACTAATCAGCTGATATTGGCCAGTATATAAGGAATACTATAACGAACTTGTTGTGACATTAGATGTCAATAAACACCGAGGATGTGAAGTTGATATCCTTCCCAATCTTGGCGATTTCCTTATGGTATTTATTGCAATTCAATACCAAGCAAGGCTTCTCCCGGATTCCATGGTTATATTAGCTGAACAACATGGAAGGTAAGAAAAGAATGTAATTCATTTGTAAGACTTTTTACTAAAATGAAGAAATTATATGTGTTTTATCATATCTTTAAAATACAGAATGTATTTTGCTTGATTAAAGTTTTTTTCCAACTTTCATATAAGGGAAGATAACTCCGATAATGTTACTGTTTTTAAAGGAATGGGTTTGAATTTACTTATTTTGTTTTGAACCAAGAAAAGAAGTCCCGTTACCCCAATTTTTATTTTTTATTTTCTGAAAGCACATTATAAGAGCTACCTCCTGAAAATTTATCTTACAATTTTATCGTTTAGTTATCCGGCTTTCTATCAATAAAAGTTTATTTTCCACGTATAATTAATACAAAATCTGACAATTTTGCAAAACCTGTTGTTTGAAAAATAGCCCCATGACCCATCCTTTTATTAATATTTGAAAGCAGCATACTGTAAGCTATCTTTTGTAAATTATTAAAAAAAACTATCGATTCTAATTTAGACCACCATCTACCTTAATGCTGTTAAAAGTCATTCGGCTGAAGTCACCAATGTTATTATTTTGACTGTAACTTCTCGATAGAATGTGTTTTGAACCAGTATGCATTACAACTGTGTCCTTAATTCGTGTTACAATCGCAAAATGATATAAGCACAATGGTGAATTGAAGGTTGTTAAGGAAAATAAATAGTTTTCAAAGTATAAGGAAGACATCAAATTAAGTCGGGTCAGAACACCATTTGTAGTTTTGAACCGTTTATTAAAAAGGTATAAGCAATACACTTAGCGATTGCAAGATTCGTTATCCATATACATGATATATGCCGTCGCAAGTTTAATGTTTTAACAATTCTAAACTCAAAGGAAGGAATGGCTATTTTTGAGCGTTAACTGACTTCCGATACAATGCGTGAAAGGGTTTAATAATTCCTTATTGTATTTGATTGATTATTTGATTGCTGGTTGCTTAACGTCCAGTGGCAAATATTTCATGCATATTCAGGACGAGAACAAATTAACAATAAATACAATAGGTAGGTTCTGTAATATATTAAGGGATTAAGGTCAGAGGAATTTAGACTGCCACGGGAAATGAGGTTATATTGGATAGGGACATAAATTTAGCCTTACAACAGGTCACCTACGGACCCCTCAAAGAGTTGTTGCAAGGGTTCTTAACGTGCAAAGGGCGTGGCACTCTCTTTACACGAGGCATCGGATTTAACGTCCCCATTCTGACCGGACGTGGCTGCAAATTTGTACATCCAGCACAGCCAAACGGACGCCCCACTTTGGCGAGGGTTTTACTGCCGGTCGGAAGAAGACAAATGGGTCAATGTTCGCAATTGTTTCTCCATAGGCGGTAATGGTAACGTTTTCTTCTGTTGCTCAGTCCATATCGTTAACTTGAATATGTATGATGGCTAGTTTCGAAGCTTAGACGTTTTCACATAATGTGGTTAAATTTTCGGAGTACGAAGTGAGATTACTTTTTCCGTAAATTAGCATACCTCGAAAATCCTTTCGTGATGCTGCTCCTCGTGGTAAAAAATCCAAACATATTTCTGCAGATGAAGTAGACTTTAAACATCACACGATCTTTTATTCCGCAGATAAACTATTTACAATAAAAACGAATGATTAAAAAACAAATTGTGACTTTATCTGAAGTTTATCTGATCTTAAAATAAAATCCGACTTAATTAAACATCAACATTGATCAGCAGTCTATGCATCGGGGGACTGTCCTTAGTTTTTTCTGTTAATGTTTTAAGCAAATGTTTAAATTTCTCTTATTCATGAATTGAATTTTATTACAGAAACACCTGACAATGCATCAATAGCTCTGTATAGGTATATGTGTCGTAATATTGTTGGAACAGAAAAGCACGTAAAAACAATCAGAATGATGAGCAATGTCAGAGACAATTTACAATGCGCCGACCATTGGACAATTATCACTAGTGGAAGTCATGGAGAAGGACTTGTAATGCGAGGCAGTGATTTAGATCTCATGCACGTTTGTAAAATTGCCGAGGTTTGTGAAGACACAAACATTAATTTCAATCCAAATACAACGTATTTTACAATAGAAGAAGAAGATACACAGACAGGTTTCCCTCTGCTATGTCTTCGGTATCATAAAGGTCCATTTGTCTTTGAAAACTGTTTAGAGGAGATAAAAGGTCGTTACTACCTTTCAAATGTTACATTTAAACAACAATTTATAAACAAAATGTATCCGACTATTCATGGCCCATGTTTATCCGACAAACATGGCTTATTTGACTTTGCATACTGCCTTCGTTGTAAATCATGGGTAACACAATCGAAGCAATGGATAATACGATCAAACAACTCGTGGCCAAGTGCCGATGTTAAGGCGTCAATTATAAAACACGGTGTTCTATTTGTACCAATAGGTGTTAAAGGGTCTACAAAAGAAGAATTAGAATGGCGAATTTCGTTTTCTGTGGGAGAGAAACTTCTCATTTATACTTTTACACATACACAGTTACTATGTTATGCTCTTATGAAAATTCTTCTCAAAGATGTTATAGCTATTGACGTAAATTGTAAAGATTTACTATGTTCATATTTCATGAAAACTTTAATGTTTTGGATATCGGAGGAATTACCTACATCAATATGGGAACCCGCAAACTTGATATCTTGTTTTTTGAGATGTTTTCGTAGACTTCTGTATTGTGTAGAATTTTCAGTTTGTCCTCATTACTTCATTCCTGAGAACAATTTATTTGAAAATAAGATAAAAGGACGCGCACGTGAAACACTTTTAAGTAAGTTGTATATTCTAAATAGTTATGGTTGGCAATGCATCATCTTTTCAGACCAAATCCCGAGTTATCACAGATTATCCACTTACATTAACAAGGAACCAAGTTGTTTAAATGTTGGCATCCTCAAAAAATTATTTAGTTTTTTAAATTATAATGCAGATTATTTTCTGAATCCTGATATCAAACTGGAAAACAGAGTACATATGGTGTTACCTATTTTGAGTTCCAAAATAAAATACCTTTACTTGTACTATATGTCAAAGTTTTGTAGCAAAAGTAGCCATTTTCCAGCATATAAAAATAATTTCGGTAATAAGTCAACGTATAAACAGTACAATACATGTGTAAGTACTCTGCTACAAAATACACGACATGATGCTGTATCTGGATGGTTGATGTTAGCTTCTTTTTTCTACGGGACAAAACAGTACAATTTAGCTCTCGACATCCTCAAATATTCTCTATCTAAATGTTCACCTGAAAAGCTAAACCTAGCTGCGAATTGTTCGTCCTTTAAGCGTGAAGTACTAAATTTGAACTTATTCAGGAATATGCCATATGATCAGCTATCAAAATTTATGATGATAAATTTATTAGATATTCCAATCAACTCTATTTTGATACCTACGGAATTGATGATTGAGGCAGAGGAAAATTTGATTCCGCCTGTAGTTTATGTACATGCCCTTCGATTCCTGTGTCATTACCATCTTATGAATACAATAGAATGTTCTAATTCTCTCCGAGATCTACAATTGACTATAGAAAAAGACTATTTCATAGGACATGCGTATGGGAAATCTGTATCTTACAACATTTTAGGTATAACTTTTCAATTAATAGGAGATATAGAATCAGCAAAAAAGGCATTTATGCAATCGATACAAATTAGACCAAGACCCGATCAAAATAGTGCGTTCCAGAGACTGTCGTTGATTAGTCCAAGGCAAATGAGATACAATTTAAAAAATTAAAGTTGTCACTGTTTTAATTATTGTTTTCCTGTGCTATTTTCAGGATTTTTTCTTATAGCGCAACAATCCTTGTTTCATATCATCTCCGGTGTAGTTTGTTCCGTGCAAAAATAAGAAAAGAAGAAAACACTTTTTTTATATTCTGTTTTTGAATCTGTTGGTAATCTAACACATGTCAATAAATGATGTTTTAACAGAGGATGATACATATGACTTATATTTTATGAGGCAAATATTACTTGCATGTTCAGGACGATAACAAACTAACAATGATTCTAAAAGGAGAGCCCTGCAAATTTAGTCTTACGGGTTGAAAGTCAGCAAATTTTACTGGAATGATGTTATGTTAGATACAAATGTAAGGACATCCAGGGCCCCTAGCATGCATTTAGCATGGTACATTTGCTACACGAGGCACCAAATTCAAATGACATAGTTGCGTATTGATATATTCATGTGCCTCATAATGAAGGTGACACCCCTTGCCATACACCCGGTACTGAGATATATTACCATACCTGAGGTAGAATTGGAGATGTACTATATAATGTTTTGATCAAATATTGTTTAGGGGGCAATTACAAAATTGAAACCCGAAGAAAAGTAGTAAAATATGACGGAAGATACCAAAGGCAATTTTTAAACTGATAAGTCGTAGACAAACTTACAACACCAGGGTAATGCAAACTTGGGATTGACTTCCGTATAAGCATTTTAATTACAAATAAGTATTTTCAACATCGCGACTGCATATTGATTTCTTGGTATAGGTCTCTGCCGATAATTGACTGACCGATGAATATTCAATTACTGCAATTATGTATCGTATGGTTTACTGTCGCATAGATAAACACACAGGCCTCCAAACACATACATATTTATATTTCAATATATAAAAAAGAAGATGTGGTATAATTGACAATAAAAGAACTATCCACCTGAGACCATATGACGTAGACATAAGCAAGTATAGGTCAATGTTTTCATTTTGTTATATCAACTATATACTAGCATAGCAGTTATCAAGTGTGCAATGTATTGAAGGATCTAAAGCAAATATTTTTTTAAAACTTGTTTCTTCATATCAACAACTGAATATCACCATCACCATAATTAGGAGAGGAGAATTGGTAATGAAAAAAATAAAATAATCTAGTTTTTATCGCATTTATGAAGTTTAAATCGCCGGTTTTAAATGTGGAGAAAACTGAAAGAGGACAGGTATTACTTTTATCGTTGGCTTTGGAAGAGAATATTATGGGGATACATTTGATTGATGTATTTAGAAAGATCTAGATTATTGACAGTTGAAATGATGTTTATACATCCATATTATTGAAAATATTAACCAAATGGTGTTTTCCTCTGTCTTTATGAAAAAAAAAGACACGAGACTGTCATCACGTGATTATTGATTTTATGTCTCTATAAAGTGTTTTACGTTTATTGTTGAAGTATTAATCAGGCTGTTGATTGTCTTTTTTAAATTGATTCAGAAGTTGTCATACCGGAACCTTTTATAGCTTACTTTGTTACTGGTCTTGCGGGGACCTGTAATTGTCCGCACCTCTGTCCTGTCGTCTTTATAGGTAGTTGTCTCATTACTGAAATCATAGGAACACATGTACTAGAGAAAACTTGGTGTCCATTGCAATATCAATAAGTATGTAAAGTTTAGACATAATTCTTAATTAAACGCATTTGTTGAAAAATATTTTTCCTGACAAAATAAAAGAATGTAGGTCTGTACAATAGTGTATAATGCAAGTGTACTTCTAAAATTCTAAAACAAACTTTTAGATATCAACAACAAACAATCCGAAAAAAAAAATGCATTTATCTCTATATATCTTCTAGATCGTAAACTGGATATGAAATGAGGATAAAACAAGAGTTTTGCTTAATGAGGCAGCACCTCAACAAAAAAACAAAACAAAAAACAAAAAACAAAAAACAAAGACAAACTTTCGATATCAGCATCACATCTATGGCAATAGTTTTAATGTCGTCTGTTCTGCAATTGGTCATGCCATTACCCATCGATTCAAATTAATTCTTACAACAAAAAACACTACTCGTTGTGTCTTTTTATTCACAACTAATCAATTGAAATTACATGAAACGTTCAGACTGGTATATCGTATACAATTCTGTATTGGGTAATGAAGGTTTGGATGAGGGTATTTCATTTCTGTATTTTCTTTTTCTTTATCCTATGTGTTTTTATTCCTTATAGTGTCTTCAACACCATGGCCAAAAAGAAAATCAACGAAAAGACAATAATAATAACAACAAAGCCCCCCATTGAAACGAAAGATTAAGCAACACGTATCACACCACAAACGCGTGGAGTTCATGGGTTCTTTACATCTTCTATTTTTCACTACGAACAAGGAAGGCGGAAAACGAAAATAATAAAAAAAAAACAAAATAACAACTATAGAATTTGTTTTTAAAGTATCCTGTTTATAACTAATATAATTTTATAACTTTTTAATCAATTTCAAACAGTTTACTCATTCAAATTCAGGATCACCTTGGGATTATTATCGTCTGTTTATGATACATAATAGAACCTGAAAAACGAGACAAGGAAACGAAATAATAATAAAACATGTTAAAGCGTCCTGCTTAAAGAAAAGTAAAGAAAAGCTGACTGGAAATCAAGATTTGATTTTTTTATTCAGGTAAAAGGGCTTTCGTAATGAAATCTTTTTACAGGCCGTATTTGTGAAGGTAATTCTAGTCCATATTAAAGTGACCCGTTCAGAGCAGGTAAACAATAAAATTGAGAATGGAAATGGGGAATATGTCAAAGAGACAACAACAAGACCAAAGAGCAGATAACAGCCGAAGGCCACCAATGGGTCTTCAACGAAACGAGAAAATGTGTACTAGTTCAGTGAAAATGGACGTCATACTAAACTCCAAAACATATAAATGAACTAAAATTAAAAAACATACAAGACTTACAAAGGCCAGAGGCTCCTGACTTGGGACAGGCCCAAAAATGCGGCGGGGTTAAACATGTTTTGTGAGATCTCAACCTTCCCCTATACCTCTAGCCAATGTAGAATAAAGAAACACATAGCAATACGCACAGTAAAACTCAGTTTAAAAGAAGTCCGAGTTCGATGTCTGAATAGGTAACAAAAGAAACTAAGCAAATTACATTTAATATTTAGAGAAACATTTGCAAAGCTTTATAGAATATTATTTTTAAAAACACGAGATTTGTTAAAAAAATATATAAATCTTAAATAATTGTAGAAGATTCCTCGGAGACCCGTGTCTTGCTTATGATTTAAAATCGAACTTATCACTTCAGATGTTATTTTTTTTAATTTTGAAGAAGCTTATTACCATAAATTAAAACGTTCCATGAACTCAGGGTAATTGATGTCTAAAATGTAATTTGAAACTGTTTGTAACTGTTAAGGTAGCTGGGGTGTCTTCCTTCATCTTGAATTTTGAAATAACAGACAATAGGTCTACATCGTTAATGAAATGCGCAAATTTCTAGAGAAGTATGTAGTTCATGTGTAAGACGTTTCCTGCAATAAAGAAATTTATCATCTTTATACGTTTTATCATATTTACGGCTGTATTTTATAAAAAACAAAATATTTTTGTTTGATTCATTTTGTATATAAGGAAAACTATAATGTACCTGTAACGCAATTAAAACGAATTATAAGTGAAAATATGTTTTTGTTGATATGATTTCCAAATTTATCGAATATAATAATCAAGATCACATTATATTCAATAAACAAGCAAGGCTTCTACCAAGTACTAATTGGATCATGGAAGGTAAGGTCAAACCTGTTAGTTTATTCTACTTATATTTTTATGTCGACCTAATTGTGCTACGAAATTGTTTCATGAATGTTATTGTGGTTGAAGGATAAGGCACTAATGACCTGTATTAGCCAAGAAAAATTTTTCGAGAACTTTTTCCAAATTTGCACATATGTTTTGCACAGTGTGGGAACGGAACTGTACGTTTTTTTTTAATTTAATGGTCATTTGGGAGACTGTCAAGCGGGGCTCCGACATTCGAATAAATAGCAAGTTGCTAGATGGAAATTTTTTGGACTCAATTGTCACTATATAACGGTTCTGCTTCAATATGTGGTAACGAAAACATTCTATATGTAAATTCGAACAAACAAATATGATAAAAACGATATATGCATCCAAACGTGTTCCTTAGAATGGTGGCGCTCCGAGTAGATCAATCAAAACTGTCACACAAAGAGATAAAAACATGTCATTAAAACATTGGAAAACCAATCGTTGCTACTAGAATTTTCACATTTACCTTTTCTGATATATAGTCTTACCTGCCTGAAAGTTTAAAAGGCATGGTCCCAGAAGAAATCCACATATATTCATTATCTAAATGTCGGATATTTTAATTGACTGTACAATCGCTTGTGAGTTTACAGTACAATCACTTGGGCCTTTCCTACACAATCACGTTGGCCAACTTTATAAAATACATTGCATATGCATTTCATTTTTTGTTTCTTGTCTGTCCGATTATACTCATCTATGGGATTTGAAAACAAAATGACCACAAATTCAGTAATTTTGGCGACTAAGTTTCTAGTAAGGGCACCTTTTTAAGCCATACTCAGTGTCTATATCAGAGACATAATCAAAATTCGAACAAGTTATACAAGACAAAATAAAAGGACAATACAAATGTAACAAATCACTTGCAAGCAAAATAATGCTCGTTCAAAACAAATAACCGAAAATGGACTAGTTGCTACGGAAGCGTAAGAATATTTTGAAGTTTACATGTACTTTATTTGTTATAAACTAACAGTTTAAAAGAATAGTATATACGAACATAAACATTCAACACAGAATTTTTCACCAATAGACCGGTATATTCTAACTTACTACAGGCATTCGAATTTGGAATGGTGGTAGCAATTCACGGAACCAAGAAAAGACACGTATATGTCAACAAACAAGCTATATATATATATATATATATATATGTTTTCAATTTAGACTTGTATGTATATATATATACAACCAAGTAACAGATCTACTCTAACATCGTTAGTTGATTTTCTAGGCACTTTATACATATTCTAACGCCTGGTATTTCTTAATCATAAGAAATCCGATGGACAAGGTATAATTTGCAGTTGTCACTACACATAGGCAGACATATATATATATATAT